CTATGCAACAAGAATTGTAGCTTTTGGGTCTGATAAGGTCAGTGAAATCCCCTCAGGATTTATCCTGAGATCCTGTACCTCAGATTGTAGAACTTTTGTCAGTGTCAGCCATGTGGATGAGTCACAGCCATTTCTTGGCCAGTGTGCTCTCTGTGAAAGCCTGAGAGAGAATGTTTTCTCTCCAAGTGACTCTTTTTAGGCACACTCTACATCATTGATCACTTTCCTCTTTGGCTCCATAATCTCCTTGATCAGAAAATTTGGGATACTACTGAGTTAAATGAAGATACAGTATAGGTTCTCATATGTCCCGAGTCTTAATTGACCTTGGAAGGCTAGGGCCAAAATGTTGGCTTTCCTTACAGCTCTCCTTTTTCTATAATTTTGGTCTTCAAACATAGGTTGTTAATCATCCAGAAGACAAGCTTATTGTTATTACCTTACAACTTAGGCTGTTAGGCTTAACCTCACTATCTGTCTGCTTATCAAACATCTTAGGCATAATATGGAACAGGTATTTTTCATCGACTATTGATATGTTGAACTTTAACTCCCTACAGAATATGATGAAAAAACATTTAAAAATTAGAATATATTTTAAAAATAGGCATGAAGAATTATATACTTCTTATGTTTAAACGTAAGTCCAAAAATCTCACCTTATACAACCTTGAAGCAAGACAGTCCCACATTATTCCTTTTCCTGTCTCTTGCTTTCATTCACCATCCCCTTCTTCTTGAACAACCATCTACCTGAGAGACATCATAATAGCAGCAACGGTCATGTCATGCCAAGCAGCACATATTCAGAAGACTAGAATGACAGGCACTCCAAGCATGAAACTACTATTACAAATTACCATCAGCAGTGCAGTTGCTTAGTTCACAGGTATCAGTGTATATAGTTAGTCAAGGTGAGAATCTTTCCAATTTACTGCTAGATTAAAAAATCTTCTGAAGAGTCTCATGATCATTGCCTTGCCCATTTTCTACATATAACTGTATGGCTTGACTTATTCATGTTTCCTAGCTCTTCTCCTTTTCCTCTCCTGGTTAGTTAGTCCTTCAGATCCTGCTTTCCTTTTACTTGTATTATACCTTTCTATTTGTATTTCTTCTTTTGAGTTCTTATACAAGGGACACTATATGATATTTACACATGTGTTTCTGGTTTATTTCACTTATGAGTATATGTTCAAGTGGCATCCACTTCAATATAAAGCCTTCGAGTTTATCATTCTTAATAGCTGAATAATACTCCATTGTGTAAAAATACCACATCTTTTTCAA